CCAGCGCATCTAGGCTGCTCATCATGAAATTTAGGCTGTCTTCAAACCTCAGGTTTCCAAGCGAAAAGGAGATGTATTTCTCTGTTGTTCGGAATACCGCTTATTTCTCCCTGCACCCGCGCCATGGCTTGCATCAGCAGGTGTCCATCGTAGCCCTTCAGGTTGTGGAAGACCACCGGTATCGGTGTAGTTTTGGGTTTTAGGCAGAGCTTCAGGTTGCAGGCATTGTGCCCAGCCCCGCGATATTTTCTGGTTATGTGGCAGTGGTCTTTCACCACGTCTTTGCAGTTGTTCACCAACAGCGGCAAAATATGCAGTCTTCGTTTTTGGGGCCTTTGGGCTGTCTCTCTCTCAGAGGCCCCACGAACCCCTTCATGACCTGGCAATAACACCTTTTGTGGCTTTGGCCGTGGTATTCGCCGGTGTTGGGGTTCTACACGTCAATCGAGTCTTGGAACTCTGCCTTCACCAGGCTTACGTTGCAGATGTGGCATTTGGTCGCACTTTTGTGTTTACGCCAGTTTTCGGATGTAATCATGAGCAGCTTTTTATTGGCCAGCTCGGCCCTCATTACCTTTTCGTGGTACTGAAGGCTCGTCAAAAACGTGTACACCACGTCTTTCCCGCGGTACACGTACGGGCTGTGCATCTGGCTGTCGCTTTTCACAATTATGTCCTTGTGGGTCTCTTCAGCTGCCCCATGCATTTGGGTTTGTCTTTCCAGCAGCTCTTTTCTTGAGTATCTGTGCAAGCAGCGTTCGCAGAAATGTTTCACGCCACCGTGCTTGCTTTGGTTGTGCAGCAGCACACTCAGCCTTCTCACAAAGGTATAGTGTGGCTTTTCGTTGTCCTGTATAAGCATCAAGTTGATTCTCAGGATGCTTCCCTCTTTTTCGCTGAGCCTATGCACGGTCACGCATTCTGTTTCCCAGCCAAACACGTTTATGGCCAAGAACGGGTTTTGCTTTTCTAGCCTACTTATCTCTGATACGGGCATTGGGAAGTCTATCCCTGTAAAATTCAGCCCATCTTCTGTGGGATATCTCGATGGCTTGATACATTCATGCCATCTTTCAGTGGAAATAGTGCTGCACACAGCGCCCATCTCAAGCACTGGTTGTCTCTTTTTTTGGATGTTGATGATCACTTTTTTGTTTTGTAGTTTTTTGGGCAGTGGCATGTAACTGCCTCCACAAAAAGGCTGGTATTGGGCAACATTGATGTAGGCTTTCAAGATGGTTCTTATCGCCCAGCCTGGGCCTCTTTGAGACCATGCTTCTATTTCTCCTTTGAATTCATTGATTGATTGGCGTAACACTTTGCTTACCGTTGCTGCGTTTTTCTGTTGAAAACCACGGGGTCTCTCTGATTAAAATGTTCCATTTCTTGTTTTTTGCCATCTCTAGTCATCAAAAACTTAATGTCAAGCGCAAACTACGTTTTGATGCTTTTCAGGGTTTTAATTTCATTTTCTATCACTTTGGCAAATTTTGATTTCGTTTTTTGTGCGAATTTCAGAAGGTCGGCTTTGAATTTATAGGCTTCTGGAACTTCCATTTTCCACACACGAAGCTATTCATCGAAGTCGTTTCTTACCAACTGAAAATCAAAATCCCTGCTGGGCCTTATAGGGGGCTGTAGTCTTGCATTCTCTTCGCGCGAGATAGGACCGTAAAACATCTCTATCACATTAGAAGAAAACCTTGACGCTGCCATGGTTGCTTTATACCAAGGCAGGCGGCGGCTTGTTCAACTGGAAAAAATTCTGGATCAAAAATTAGACTCGCACAAAGTGAAGCAACTTATAAGGCCAAGATTTGTTTGATCTACGGCTTGCTAGATCAGCAATCACACCTGTCTTACACACATGTATAATGGTGGTTCTGGACTCAAGGCAGTTTGTTCTAATTGCGGCGAGCGAAGTGAGATGCAAAATAAGAACAAAACTGCCTTGATCCAGAACCACCATTATACATGTGTGTCTCTCCTTCGTTTCAAGCTTCGCTTTTTCTGCATTTCTCTTGAACGCACTCAGGCATGGTAAATGATATTTTGCTTCTGCAGCAATTAAATCACACACACCAGCCAAACGAACTCGAAGTTTGTAGTTGAACTGAGCAGCTTCAATAATTTGCTCACTCATTTTCAATGTCATTACAGATGATAATCATTCTTTTTGGTTTTCGTTTTGGCAAAATTTGCATCTGCTCCTGTTGACTTTTTCTACATGACTTGTATGTTTTACAAGGACTGTTAGGAGCTGTTGTTGCAGGTCGAAGTTTTTCACTTGTCTCTACCTTTTGTTGCAGACTTTGGATTTTCTCTTTACTTGTGTACTATGCGTAACAGTTGCCATGCCAGACAATACAAGTATTGTCATTTCTTCCAAGTAAATCTTCCAGACAATCGATAACCTCTCTGTTTGCTACGTCCCTGTACTTTCTTTGTTTAGTCATCGTTCCGTAAACAACATTTTTGCTGTAACTTGTAGCTTCTCTTACATCGTCCTTTAGCTTATTACGCTTCTGACAGAAGATGCACAGCTTCAAGTCAACTTCTGGCAAAGCTCTCTTTAGGGTCACAACTGGATCCATTCCAACATTTCACAGCTTTAGAACAGCTTTCTACTTGCGAGAAATCTAGCGATGGCATACTAAACAACGAAGCTGAGTAACCAGGTGTACTTACCACTGGACTGGACTCAGACAATAGGAGCGAAATTAGGGAAGCTTGACTGTGAATGCCTTTCTGTTTTCACATTCAAATGGGTAGCCATGAACTTCCCTGAAAAAAAAGCCCTGTTAAACCCAAAATAACAGTGCATATAAAACACTTTTCTGTTTTAATTTGGCCAGTTGAAAATAATGTCATACATTGGCCCACGAGACAGGCAAGTCTTAAATTCCTCAAAATACAAAGCATGTAACATACTATAACTGAAGTGGCTCTAGAAAATCCAAATTTGTGATATTTAACTCAGTGGTTTCCCCTTTTCTACACATTTATCATTGCGATGACGTCATTTTACATGTCAATTTTCTGACGTTATTTTGAGACTGATGATCACAAAATGAACTTCGGTAACAAGCATTTTCGTTTTCAGCACATCAGATTACTTCAGAAAACTCTTGTTACCAGCTTTTACTAAGAAATGCTTCTTGATTTTTGTGAGAAGGACTTTATCCAAATACGGACTAGTCTAGAATAGAAAAGGCTTTTTTCAGTGCTTCATCGGTTAAATTAAATTTGCACTTCAATTTTTTGGCGTTATTAGGAAAGCAAACCTTTTTACAGACAAAAAGAGAGCAATAGTCTTTTGATTTCTTTTTAGTTATGTCAAGAAGGCCGCAGTCAATTTTGAAAGGGATTTAGGGCTGTATAATCTGGATTATGATAAGTATTCCTTAAATTGACCGGTACAGAATGGCACAGACCGGTCCATTCCAGAAAGTTCATCTTCTTTATGTGTTTTGTGATTAGTTCATAAGAATCGATGTTGTTAAGATCAAAACGCAAGTCTCCCACCATCTGAATTCTATGATTAAAGTACCTTTTATAAACTAGTGAGACAATCTCAGATAATGAAGAGTGCAATTGATAGCTCTGGCACGGTAGTCCCATGAGTACTCACCGTTCACTTTTAGTTTGTATCTACCTTGGTAGTCTGCTAGGACTTTTCCCCTTAGCAGTGTGTATGTTTCAATGTTGTATTTTCATTCAAGGTCCACAAAGTACGTACAATAAATGTTTATTACGACAGCTTTTAAATTTTACTCTGGTGTACGATGATTTTCGTTCATTTTAAATTCAATAATACTTTGAGCAAACGTGACAATTTAGCTCTTTGCGCCATCTTTGTAACCTGATACTTTTGTTTCCCGCGCAAAGGTATGTAACATGAAACCCCTGTTTTCTCCAAAACACGCGGAAGATGTGCTTTTTTGGGGGGGAAAAATGAAAGAAAGTTAAATATCTGATGAAGAAATGAAAGAGAAACGATTTTGTTTTTTCTAAAAATGCAAATTTTCTTATCACCAATGAACAAGAACTAATTTAGTTATCAGATAGTCATGGAATACCACTTTCTTTTCCTGTTGCCACCTTTGTTGTAAACAATAAAACAATTTAAAATTAACAGTTTTGTCCAGCGTACTAATTAATTGAAATTAATTAATTAAACAAACATTAAAGTTTACACCTTAGTACCATAGCGACTTATTGCCTTAGAGGCAGGCAGTCCCCAAAACCACCCTCATAGTGCACTCTGCACTAAAAACTGGTATGTTGTTTATTCTTATTTCCTGGTTATTCCAAATGCGGTAAAGCCAATTGAAGGGGTTCGTGCAAAAAGGGCATACATCGCTTTTTGGGCCAATTTTCATTTTTTCAGGATTGAGCTAATTTTTGACAGACTGACTTGTTTTGACATGAAAAGCATCGTTCCATAATTGTTTTTGATGATTTGCGCTTCATTTTCAAGAAATAATGTATGCAAAAAACTCAGTTTTTCATGGGCATGTTTAGGAGATCCTTTGTTGAATGAAAAACAAAAGAAACCTTTTGTTTCGCTAAATGATGAAGTCACCGAAGCATGGCATTTGCCGCTAGGTGTTCAAACCGATACAAGTTTTATTATTCATATAATAAAATACGCTCATCTCTTACTGTTGCTTTGTTAGCGCAAGCGCATAAGGCGCTGAATGGGCCGGACTCGAGTTTGTTTTGTCCTGACATTGGTTCGATACGAGGTCGGTCGATTTTTTTCCCGGTCTATTTCTCCACGTCTTTCAAAAATAAAAACATTTATGTTAAAAAAAAAAAAACATGCTGTCGAAGCTGTGAAAAGTAACTGTTTAAGTTCGCGTCATGTTGAAATCAACCTTCAAAGGATTCGCTCCAAAAGATGCTGCTTGGAAGACTGAGTTTTTTTGCATACGTTATTTATTGAAAACGAAAAGTGCAAATCAACAAAAACAATTACACAAAGATGCTTTTCATGTCAAAACAAGTCAGTCTGCCAAAAATCGGCCCAAAAACCGATATACGCCCTTTTTGCACGAAAGCCTTGAATTGTCAGGTTTGTCCCTTCAATGTATTAATGAATTTGAAATGAACAAAAATCAACATAAAACACCAGAGAAAAACTTGAAAGCTCTCCTGACAAAGAGTTATCGTAAGTTATTTTTGGACAAAGAAAGAAAATGTGCACATGAAACATACACACTGCTTAGATTATGTTTTATCGAGGTTCCTGTCCGTTCATATTCTGCAAGGGGAAAAGCCCTAGGTACCAAGGTAAATACAAACTGGGAGTGAACAGGGTAGGGGTGGGGACTTGCATGACTACCGTGCCAGAGCTACACACTATGCACTCTGCACTATCTGAGATTGTCTCACTAGTTTTGAATCTGTGGCTGAAACCAACGGTGCATGAAATGGCCTGGAAAAAAAAAGCTATTTCAACAGATTTCAAGGAGCAATAGTACCCCAAAATGTGTATATGATGCATTTGACTGACTGCCTGCTTTACTGAGCGGTAAATTTTCCCTCAGCTAACTGCTAGGATCCACTCAGAGCTTTGCCTTTGCAAGTTAAACTAGCGAGGCAATCTCAGATAGTGCAGAGTATTAAGCTAGCACTGACACATGTTAGTCACACAGGTCCCCAGTCGTCAGCTAGGGCTTTGTAGAATATGAATGTACAAAAACCAAGTGATTAAGGCATAATCTTAGCAGTATATATGTGTGCATGTGTGTATTTTCATTCAAGCTACAAAAATGTGACTTATAATAATCGTTAACCAAAACACTTTCAGAAGACTTTGTTTTATCCAAAGTGCAAATGTTCATTGCATTGATAAACAAATGCTAATGCTATAATCAAGTAGTCACAGAATAGCAGATACCTATTTTATTGTGACCATCGATCGCAGTTTCTTTGGTTTTAACAATACAACCACTTACAATTAATGCGTAATGAAAATTAATGCACAACAATATCGATTAATATAAGAAGAGTTTTAATGGGAAGTGCTGAAGGTTCCGTAGTTTCTATTCCAAACCCTGACAAACACAGCCACAGAAGTGCTATGGAATCTGCAACAATAATTTGCAGTTTAAAAAGTTTTAACTTGGGAAAGTTTCGACAAAATATGAATTTTTTGGTCTCTTTCATAGAGACCTCTATAGGATTAAATAAACAAACCACCAAGGAGAAACAATACATTTCTACTCCACGCAAATACAGTTGTGTACTTTGAAAACAGCAGATAACATTTCTTGAAACGAGCTAGGCGTAATTCAAAATGATACATAGTCACAGTAGCATTCTTTACGTTTATAAAAGGAAGAAGTGACGTTATCCAAAATATGACTGCTGTCCCGACCAAAATGAGAGTGTACCATCACAAGATATCACAAGCGCATGGCTCTGGAGACAAGGAAGGGAGGGTATCACAATCATGATGCTAGAATGTATGCATCTTACATTATGTGTTCTACCATAAGGGAATTCATATGATAGGTATCCTTCACACTAATGTTGTCTAATCTGCGCATGCATCAAGAGCAAATTTCTTTTGTTCCAAAAACAATAGTACCACAAGGAGAGGAAGGGGTTTTCTAAAACAAATATATAGCTTTGTAATGTTGATGTAGATACGTACTTTAGATAAGTCGTGTTTTTACTTAACGCACACAGGCACATGTGCCCACACACCCCTTCCCTTTTGCAATACTAATTAATTAATTAATTGTTTAAAAAAATTTAAGCATCCATTAAAATGGCAAAAGCAATCCGTTAAATAAAACTGAGCATCCGTTTAAACGGCAAAAGCAACCCTGTGTTGTAATAACTTCTATTTTTTTCTTTTTTCTTTTTCTCCCTCCCTTTCCAAGGCAATGTTAGTGACTCCTGTGTATTTATCAACTAATTTTGTTTAAATCATTTTGCAATAGCCTCGTCCTTCCCATCTTAGACTATGCTGACATGGTATGGGGCGACAACGATAATGCTGCTCTAATGAACAACCTATAGTTGCTACAAAATAAGGCTGCTAAACTTATTTTAGATAGACCTTTGTATTCTTCCGCAATGGAGGCACTTAGTCAACTCAGCTGGTTGAGCTTAGAACAAGGGAGGCTCTTTCATCGTTGTCTGTATGTTTATGAATGCATTAATGGAATAACTTCCCACAGTATAGAGCTACTAAGAAACAGCGATGTAAATAGATACAGTACACGCAACAAAGAAATCTTAGACTTCCATCTGTAAAACAAAATTGGGGACAGCAAAGAACTTGTTATCCTGCCTTCAAAGATTGGAATAATTTAGATAGAGATTTAAGAAACTTGTGTACCATATCCGATTTTAAACATAAATTTTTGGAATCATTCTCAGTTATGTAATTTCTTTTTCTTTCTGCATTATTTTAGTGTTAGAACATATTTTATTCCTTTATTATGTGACTAACGATATATTTAGAACAGGACCTCTCTGTATATAAGCGGTAGGTGAGAGAGCTTCCTGTAATCATTAACTGTTATTCACCAAAGGTGAAGTAAACATTGATGAATATTCACTGAGACAAAGTCGAGGTGAATATTCACCAATGTTCACTGAGCCTGAGGTGAATAATTGAAGGCTTTCGTGCAAAAAGGGTGTATGTAACATTTTGAGCCAATTTTTGAGTTATTTTTTTGTAAAAAAAATACCTCTTAGTCGGCGCGTCGGGTATGTTATGGACGGGTCAATGGGTGAGTAAGTGAGTGAGTGAG